AAATTGGATGCCCTGGGTTGTTCGGAAAAGGGACAAAGTCAGCTTTTCCAAGTTTGATCTCAAATCTTTTGGACATTATGTCAAGAAAATTACCACTAGGCTAGTCCATCTTATTGTTTAATATTCCCAAAACAATATATGTACAATAAATTTGACTTCACGTATTAAATAATGACAAGAAAAATAATACTAATATTTGTTATTTTCTTTATGTTCTTTGCTTACTTTTGCAATTAATTCTCCACCCTAATTATGTTTTGAGAGTTGCTATTTATAATCTCTCTAAAGAGTCCCAAAAGATCTCTAAAAATCGTGCATTTTATGGCCAAACGAAAGTTACCTTGCTGAAATAGAATTTTGAAGGAAATAGAATTTTTTGGCCGAATTGGCCTGGCGAGCGCCCAGTAGTAAATGGAGCTACTGTATAGGCATACTAAGTAGAGCGACTGTAATTGATGTTAAGGCCCGTCCAGCTTATATAACTGGGCGGCTTTCCAGTTATAAAAACTTTTAGAATTTTCCTAAAGTCCTTTTCTTCATTCTGTCTTTCATCTGGTCCTCCACGTTAAATTACTTTGATTTTGGTCCTTCAACTTTCATCTAAATGCATATTAGTCCCCAAACTTCCATCTATTGACTAATTGATCCATCTTTTCTAAATTATTTAGAAATGGGTCCAAATCTAAAATAAGATAAAATTAACCACCCAAGTTAAGTAAAATTCAATACTAAAACGACACAAAAGCTAGTAATATGGCTCAAATAAGTGTACAAAAATACACTTATCACCACTAACTCATAAATTAAAAATAATTTAAAAGGTATTTAACACAATTAGTGTATTATTAAAACATTTATCATAATTCAAATGATGTATTGAGTTCGAACTTGAAAGGAGAAATATCTTAAAAGAATTCAAAACCAAATAAGATAAATTGGGCTTGATAACATAATAATTTTTGATTGAGACTCTTGCCACCATAAGCCATCTTCGTGCCAATCGATTCGAAACATCAATTATTTGGAAGGAGAGGCATAAAGGGGTGAGAATAAATCCCAATAAGTGTGCATGGGTAATGAATTCATATATGTATTTCTACGAAAAATTTATAATTGCATAGGGAGACATGGAAATTAGACCGAACTTAGCCCCTATTTGACTATCATTATTTGAATTTTTTTTTCTGCATATTCATTTTCAACCCCACATTTACACAATAAAATATTTTGCACGTAAATCCAAATTTTTTTCCTATTTTTTAATTACGCATTCTCTTAAAAATTACTATTGAAAACATGGTTTTTCCTATTTAATGGTTTCAAATAAGGGCTTAGATGATGCTAAATTCTCGTGCGAGGTGCTTCTAAATTCTGGTACATTTTGAATAAATCATACGTAATATGGATTAAAACATAAAGCATAGTCGTAGAAATATTACGTGCATAAACATTAGTTACAATAAACATAAAGCACAACTTAACTATTTCATGAGATTAATCAAATGATGAAGAAATTTGCTAGTTAGGCCTTGTTTGTTACATATTCTTTCAAAATACATTTTTTCAAAACTCATTTTCAACCACACATTTTTCAATAAAATAATATTTTTCATCACATCAAGAGCTTTTCTTTATTTTTTAACCACATATTTCTCATCATATCNAGAAAAAGTTATTGATGTGATGGAAAATATTATTTTATTGAAGAATGTGTGGTTGAAAATGAGAATTGATTTGAGAATTGATTTTGATAATCACAACCAAACAGGCTCTATATATAATAGTGTAATGAGTGAAATTTGACCACCTATCACTATGAAAGGGCTCAATTTATAATGAGGGTGTTGTATATTTTTGGTCAAATATCACTTGTTGGAATAAAAATCATGTAATAGCATTGATTTGGCCAAGAATGCATGGAAATTTCTACAATTACGGAAGTCACATTTATTATGACTGCCTCAATTTACGTGATCTTAGTTATGTATGTGGAAAAGAGTGCTCTCTCTCCTAATATGACACAATAATTTGAGAGTATGATTGATGGGTGTCTTTTTTCTTTCCAATTTCCAATATAAGTTACCATGTGGAGTTGATTTACATTGATGCCAACTTTCTCCCCCAATCACACGTGAATATTGAAGGAAAATGGTTGTCAAATAATTTGTCACTTAAGTCTTCAAACTATTGGGCAACAACCGAATGGGTCCCTAAAATTTGAAGTTGTGCAACTAAGTCCCAATTTCAAATTAACGGCTAGTAATAAAATTTGAGTCGTTACCGTGCATGCTTCACATGGTCTGTGGCGTGCGCCCCCCTTTTCCTTGGTATCAATGAATGGGACCCACAAATATTAAAAAGCCACTTCTTTGTTTTGTCAAATCAACTTTGAATGTCTACTGTCAGGTTTAATCATAAAAGAAGCTGTAAATGTGAACAAAATTAGGATTAAAGGACATGTATGACCAATAAAATCTCAGAAACATCACCATAAGTTCTGTCGAGCAATGATTCCCATGAGTGATTGCAATTGCCTTGTATCTATTACTTTTTCGAACGATGGATAAATTGAGTGTCAAACTATATACTACAACTGATACGTATAAGATTTATGACGAAAACAAATTTATTTTTTCTGAAACCAGGAATTTAATTTTGATGAATTGGTAATAAGTTTGTTTTCTCATGCAGACAAAAAAAATTGCATTGCTATTTTCTCTTCCATTTGACTATTTAATTGTTTAATTTAATTGATTATTTTGTGTTTTTTTGCAAGTTATACTAGTGTGGTTTCATTATGCTATGAATTGTAAAGTTTGTTTAGGGTTCTTATATGCTTATTTTTGTATTTAATATTTGTATAGTTTAGTTTTTGGTGAGCCTCGCCTCATGAGAGAAAAAAACCTCGTTACCCGATTCTGCCTTTTAATCACTAATAATTATAATGAATATAAACATTATCAGCAATTCATTGAACACATAATCATAAACAACTATGTACAAAATCATTTGTAATTCAAATACCAACAAGTATTTCCTTTCACCTGCTATTAGAATGACGTATTATAGTAAATAAAATGTGTAATATCTAAAAGAGTATGAATAATATGCATATACTAAAAGGAATTCCTTATTTTTTGTGTTCAACGATAAACCATTGAGAACTAATACTTTTATCCAAACAAAATTAAGAAAATATATATTTTTCATGATTCGAAGAGTTTAAACAATATAATATTCCATAAGTCTTGTATAATTATCTAAAAATTGACCTAAATAGCCAACATGTATCCGTGTCTTGGCTAGATGTGATAACTATGGTTACAATGCTTGTTGCACCAGTGTGGATATAGAGGGTGGACATGGAGACTTTGGTAGCACAACATGAGTATAGATGGTGATGGATGAAGTGGAAGAGTTAGGTGAGGCTCATTGAGGGAGGAGAGTTGGAACTGGAGGTGGTGGTGGATGATGGTGCATGGTAGCCTGGTTAGGGTGTGCAAGTGAAGGAAATTGTGTTATTTCCAAGGATGCAGTTACTTTAGGCAAGATAAGGGGATGGGTGTTTGATGAATAAGAAAGATGATGGTGGTGGATGGTTCAACATAGTCTGATTAGAGTTTGCAAGTAGAAGGAAATTGAATTGTCTAACTATTCAAGGATGAGAGGTAAGGGGATGAGTGTTAGATGAATAAGCTAGAAAGATGTTTCCCATTGGTATTCCAGATATTGTTTAGTGCTAAAGAAAATGATAGCTGGAATGGCCTTCCCAGTTGTAGGTCATTCCAGCCACTAAACAGGTAATAGTTATATTATGTTGTTTATGGTATCATATTGTCATTTGTCCCGTGGCCATGCGAATTGGCTTCCAAAGTAGGGCTTCCCAATAGGCCTCTCTAGTACAAGTTACCAGCTGGAAACAATTTTTTAGCTGTGTGAATAAGAAGGCTGCCAAACCGTGACTTCAAAAATTGAGTGTCTGGTATGAAGAGCAGGTCATGAACTGCAGCATTTATTTTGTTTTCCAGAATCTGAACTTTCCCTCTCTCTCCCATAAAGATACGCCTGTTTCTATTTTCACTCATATTAAGAAAATTAATATATGTTGGAACTATAAATTTTATATACTTTTTTTCTATTATACCCCCGACATTGAATAATTTTAGTTCATATTTATTGATAACAATAAACATTAAATAAGGTTATATTAGAAAACTATGATAATAATTATACTCTTAACAATTGGCCTATAATTTTGGATAAACAAAAAAGGAAAGCAACCCTATCTTTGTGGGATGGAGGGAGTATTACAATTATCAATTATGTAATATGAGACTTGCTAGTAGACATACATTCCATGGGATAAAGTTACGAACGCTTACTGCTGTACATATTCATTGTTATGATATTAATGTTTTCTGACATATATGAAAAAAGTTTTACATTGTGAATGTGTTATGATACATTGAATTTGACAATTATGATGCGCTCTCTAAAAATATTTAACACCCCCAATCCCAATCCAAAATGGTAACAACTTTAGCTCTTTGTCTACTAAATAATATATAAAGATGAACTGAACACGTCATTTTGGAAAATTTCTTGTAACTTCTCCCAATATTAATCGAATGTGTTTATATGTGCTTTAGGACTTTCGACAGCTGATTTATTTGTGTGGTTTAGAAAGCTGTTGCAATCAGTGTTTAGTAACCATAGCGTACACACGAAATTTGTTTGGCCGAAGGAAAAAATTTTTGCTCTACTACCAAATTGACGATGAAGTAACAATTTGACAAAGAACTAATAGAAAGAGAAAAAGACGTAGAACAGTGAAGAGAGAACTTGGAGAAAGAAATATAACTGTATTCAATAATCAAGTTGTTTCACCTTGAGGAGACTTGTATTTGTTTCCATGTTGCATTTATGTGCTGCAGAAGTATCTTCAGGAGATGAATTTTTCTTATCCAGATTGTGAGAGAATGAATCTATGATACGTGCAGGTTCATTCGGCAGGGGTCAGATGCAGAAGCCTTTTGAAGAAGCAACATATATACTGAAGGTTGGCGAAATAAGTGACGTCGTGGATACTGATAGTGGAGTTCACATCATCATGAGAACTGGTTGATTTACTGTACAGTAAAAATTTGGCTTCCAAAAGGAATAATTTGACATATTGAGCACCATATCAAAGAATTTACAATTTCTTTTTTAATTTAATCAGACACCGTATTCTCTGGTGTATTTGAATTGGTGGCCAGTTTTTATTCCGAAAACTCGTAATTGTGAGATTGATTTGTTCTAGAATTTATGTACGGTTTGATATGCTATCTAATTTCAAGATTATGTTCATGGCTTTGGTGTGATATCTGGTTAATATTATGCAACAATTCAGCTTTGAAATGGCAAATGGAGTCATGGGTATCGTATATTTCATTAGAATAACGTTACATGTACATTATGGATTATGGTACACGTAGTGTCCTTAATGTACACATGGCGCCCCCCTATTGGGGGAGCACCTAGTGGGTCAGGTGCTCCCCCCAATAGGGGGCGCCACATATACATTATAGACACCATTATGTGTACCATAATGTAAATGTAGCATAATCCATTTCATTATTGGTTAATTGATTTACCTCGTAAATGTGATGACTTGTATGCAGAAACATTAGTATAATTGGAACATTGATTGTTAGCACCGGCTCTTTGCGATTAAACATTTCATCAGTTCGATTTATGAACATTCAGGTGAAAATTCACAAAAATGGAATCTAAATCTTTAATGAAATGCTCATTTCCAGTAAAGCATATTCGGCTCTCGTATTGTATAAGACCTTGAAGAATTATCTTTTTTCTCATTGAATAACAAATAGATTATTTGATGTCGAATGACAACATAAAACGAAGAACACAGGAACAATTAGATTAATGGATATTTTCAAAGACGTCACAAAATTTGAATCTGCACCAAAATTTATCACTTTTACAAATGGTACTCTAAAATATCACTTTTTGGGAATGAAAAGTCCAAATCATCCTTGCAGATGCTTTTTTTCGAGAGCATTATAAACCCATGACTATATGTATTAGACTCATTTCCATTGGCAGCTGGATTCATGGCCTTATAATTAGAGAACATAACGAAATAGATAGAGAATAGCTTGACATTGTCAATTGTATTTTCAAGATGGTGGCCTGACTCCATTGTATATTGACAAATTTAACTTTAAGATCATGTTTTTGTCTTGCATAAGCCTGCAAATCCCCGTTTTCCCTGCGACCGCAAATGGCGCTCAATCCGAACTGGAGTGGGGCTGAAGTCCATGTCCTGAACCCATCTTGTTACCCTTTTCTTAGTAAAGAATAAATCTTACCTTAGTTTTTTCCTTAAATTTAGTCATAGAAATATAAACGGGGAAGGGTGCCAGATCTCCAACCCAGTCCTTGCCTACATGAACTGTTAGAGTTCGGTTGTCACCCAAATTCTATTAGAAGTTCTATTGGGAGTTAATAGTATGACTTGAAGAAATCAAAAATGTTTTGGCAGGTTTTGCACTCCATTTCAACTCAAATACCCCATTATTGGTTTTACCTGTTGTAATATGACTTCACCTTGTGTTAAACTTTTGTTTGTATTAATTCTTCTAGTATATTGGGATTCTTGTACTGTAATTATGTACTATATTATCCATATGTATTTGATTGACTCAGGGAATGATCCAGGGGGATCTAAGTTAATAGAGAGACTCGCATATAGAAGATATAGGGGAGAGTCTTGGGAGATCCTACATAATATATTGTAACTCTTTACTTTTAGTTATAGTGAATTCTCCATCTTCGCCCGTGGTTTTTTCGGTCTTGGTTTTCCACGTAAATCTTGCGTGTCTTATGATTGCTATTTATATCTTGTCCATTTTTTAATATTCATAACAATTGACTCAATTTCTAAAAGGTAGTATTAGAGAAAATTGGTATTACTTTATTTCTAACAAGTGGTATCAGAGACAATGATCGGTAGTTCTTGGGAGAGCCACTTCAGTTTCGCATTAGAGCGATGTATGATCTGTAGAGAAACAAACTGTTACCGTCATAATGATATTTCATGTTGGATCACCAAGATTTTATGAAGCAAATGAGAAGCGTACTTAAATTAGACATGGTTAATGCAATAAATGATACCTGCGATTTTTAGTCCTACAGATCAACACGTTGTCCCTTTTTCTCTCTGATGATGAGAGTCAGAACAGAATGAACAATCACCATGTGATCCGGGAACCATAACCGTATATATATATATATATACACTAACGACCTGTTAACCAATTCAACCCATCATGAAATTAGGAACATGTCTGATCTTTATACATAAAGGCCCACACTTTAATTAGATGCTTTAAAATCCAAAATACCGAAACCTTATTAGATCACTTTAAACTGGTTTAACCAAAATTGATAGTTTTTAATTTAATACACAATAATTCACATATAAACCTACATGATCGATTAAAAAATCCTTATAATCTCCCACTTAAGTTATATGTGTTACCTTATAATTGTGCATTAAACATAGCCTTATAAGTACTCAGAATTTTGCTATCATTACCGAATGCATTCCGAAACAATCCGATCCATCAATCATATCAATATAGGAATAAAGCGGCTTTCACTACTTTTATCGTAACTAAACCTATCAACGATCACGTATATCGATATAACTGAATGACATGGATCAAGTATGGATGTGTAACATGGAAATTACTTGTGACGTGATCTTAATACGCCTATCTCCAACCGGTCCACCTTAATACCTTAGTGAGATCATTTTCATACAAATTCAGAGATAATAATAAACCAAAAAACTTTATAATCGAAAATAACTTTAATCATAAATCATATCTAAAATGACAGTACATGTGTCTAATATGAAAAGCATAGAAAAACAAATTCCCATTGAAACTAGATATCCTCAAGAGATATTACACACGTATGAGCAGTGTGCTCACGAAAGACTTTAGGTATCAATCCCTTAGAAAGCAGGCCTGCAACCATGTAGTTTTTCCCAATATGTTCTATTGACCCACGTCCACTCTAAACTCTTTGTTTAACAACCAAAAACTTGATCTCTATATGTTTTGATTTCGTCGAGCTCCTGTTGTTATTTGAGTTTGTCCCGATGTGCTCTATTGACACCTGTCCACTCTGAACTCTTTCTTTAACAGCCAGGAACTTGATCTCTATAAGCTTTGACTTCGTCGAGCTCCTGTTGTTATTGGAATATAGTATTGTTGATTTATTGTCACAAAATAACTTAAGTGGTCTTTCTGTACTGTCCAAAATGCACAGCACAGTGACAAAATTTTGCAGCCATATTCCATAGTTTGATGCCTCAAAACACACTATAAACTCCGCTGCCATGGTGGAAGTAGCTATAAGTGTCTGTTTAGCACTCTTCCAGGAAATAGCACCTCTAGCAAGCAGGTAGATATAGCCTTAAGTGGATCTTCTACTATCTTGGAATCCCTCGAAATCGGAATCAGAATAACCAATGAACTCCAACTGATCCGATCTCCTGTATGTACGCATGTAGTCCTTTGTTCTCTGTAAATACCGCATGCATAGTATGCATGAAGATATAGCCTGAAGTGGATCTCCAACTATCTAGGCATCCCGCGAATTCGTAATCAGAATAACCGAGGATCTCCATCTGATCCGATCTCCTGTATGTGAGCATGTAGTCATTTGTTATCTGTAAATACCGCATGACCCGTTTAGCTGTTTTCCAATGATCCATTCTCGGATTACTTAAATATCTCCCGAGCATTCCAATAATGTATGCTATATCCGGACGCGTACAAACTTGAGCATACATTAGACTCCATATAGTTGAAGAATAAGAAATCTTCCGCATTTCTTTAATTTCCAAGTTATTTTTGGGACATGGACTTAAACTGAACTTGTCTTCTTTAGCCAGAGGAGTGTCACCCGGTTTATAATCTTCCTGCCAAATCTTTTAAGTACCTTTTTGATATAACTTTTTTATGATAATCCAAGAATACCCCTAAGAACGATCCCGATGTATCAAAATTCCTAATACAAAAGAGGCGTTACTTAGATCTTTCATCTCAAAATTTCTTGCTAGAAATCTCTTGATTTTGTGCAATAAGCCTATATTGTTGATGGCAAGCAATATGTCATCGACATATAAAACTAGAAAATTATACTTACTCCCACTGAACTTGTGGTATATACAATCATCAACGAAATTCATCTCAAACCAAATGATATGATCATTTGATAAAACTTGTAATACCATTTACGAGAGACCTGTTTGAGTTCATAAATGGATTTCTTTAGTTTACATAGATGATCACTTGATGAAACTTGTAATACCATTGACGAGAGGCCTGTTTGAGTCCATAAATTGATTTCTTTAGTTTACAAACCATTTGCTTTGTATCATCCGACACAAAGTTTTCTGTTTGCACTATATAAATTGTTTCATCAATGTCACCATTGAGAAATATTGTCTTAACATCCATCTGATATAAAGATCGAAATGCGCTATCAATTCCATTATAATCCTGAAAGAGTCTTTAGAAAAAATCAGAGAGAAAGTCTCTTTGTAAAGCCCTTTATGACAAGACGAGTCTTATACACCTCTCTACATCACCATTCGAATCCTTCTTAGTCTTAAATATACATTTGCAATCAATGAGTTTTGCACCTTCAGGCAATGGAACGAGGTCTCACACGTCGTTGTCCTTCATGGACTTTATCTCTTCATTCATGGCCTCGAGCCACTTTTGAGAGTTAGAACTTTCTATGGCTTGACGGAAGTTGATCGGATCATCTTCCACCACTCCAATGTCAACTTCATGTTCTTGGAGAAATACGATGTAATCATCTGGAACCGCACTTCTCCTCTCTCTAGTGGAC